ACCTGAAACGCCAACTTTCCTGCTCCTCTGATGCTGCCTGGCCTGCTGTGCTCCTCCAGCTCCACACTGTGTTATCTCTGACTCCAGCATCGGCAGTTGTTACTATCTCGCAACAAAGTAAGACATGGATAAAACACTGGTCAAGACAAAATGGCTACAGCTTTGCTCTTACCAGCTTCTGCACCAGTGTCAGGATTTGAAGCAAAACTGGAATTTCTTCCATGTACAATGGCAAAATTATGAAATTGTGGTGCATTTACTGAGTAAACCATATCATTTGCATATTGCTACACTTTAATCACTGCTGGAAAGAGACCCTAAATTGCTCTGAAAGAGCAGAAAGAACACATGGAAAAAATTCCAAAGTTTGAAGGCATGCTTTGAGTCCCAAGTGAATGCTACTTATGTGTGGTACATATTCAATATTAAGGATTAAAATGCAAAAGTTACCATTGATTAGTACATAACATCATTAATTCAGCTTGCAGAAACCCATGACTTTGTGTAATGATGATGTCATTAAAGGCAGGATTGTATTTGAGATAAGAGATCCTGCAATGAGAGCACATCCACTAAAAGTGAGAAACTTACACTTGGGAACAATCGATGTGCAGAAGTGCTGAGGTTTTGAATCAGCAGCAGGAGCATATTCATAGCAGAACAAACGAGGTCTTACACTTTGCTGATGAATCTGCCAGGCATCAAAAGGATGTTGGAGGAGCCCACCAATGTTCCCAGTGCCATGTTGAATGTGGAATGAATGTGCTCAGCTGTCTCGATGGTCAGGTTGGTGACCAGCATAGACAGCCAAATCCCTCACATTCAGGACCTGCACTGAATTGTTTTATCCAGGGGTGCTCAGCATCATTATGAAAGTGACTTAGAGACGAGCGTCCCTGACTTCACTCCAGGTGCCACTTCCTCTCAGGGAGACAGAGTGATGCCAGCTGGCATCCAGTGAGATCAAGAGCAACAGACAAGACCCATTATAAGATTCTTCTTGGGGCACTGCAGAGGTGCCTGGCCCCTCTACATCTCCCCTCTATGTGGTTTCAAAACCCGCAGCGGTTCAATTCAAGAGTTTGGTTGCCATATTACTCTGTGATGCATCCAGATAGGATGCTTTCTACAGTGCATCTATAAAAATTAGTAAGAGTCCTTGTGGACATGCCGAATTTCCTCAGTCTCCTGAGGAAGTAGAGGTGTCACTGTGCTTTCTTGACTGTCGCATCGATATAGGTGGACCAGGACAAATTGTTGGTGATCATCCCTCCCAGGACTTTGATGCTGTTGACCATTTCCACCTCAGCACCATTGATATGGACAGGGGTGCACCCTCCACTCCATTTCCTGAAGTCAATGGCCAACTCCTTCATTTTGCTGATGTTGACGGAGAGATGTTGTCTTTGCACCATGCCACTAAGTACTCAATCTCTCTCCTGTACTCTGTCTGTCATTGTTGGAGATCTGACCTAAAATGGTGGTTTTGACAACAAACTTGTAAATGTGGTGGAATTTGGCCACACAGTCACACCATGGCTGAATATGCAGGCTTGTGGGCAATGGTGTTGTGGATTATGGTGGAGGTGGTGTTGTTGCTTATTCTTATTGATTGTGATTGATGAGTCAGGAAGTTGAGGATCCAGTTACAGAGCGGGAAGCAAAAGGACACCTCATTGAACCCTGTGGACTACTGCTGTTGAACTGTGTTCCCCTAATTTTTTTTTCTCCAGCCATAATCTCTGTAACTTTTTGTTTATCTATGTCAGGGAGCAGGTGATGGATGTATTAATTAAGAATAGATTGGGTTTGAAATAATTGTGTAAATATGGGCAAATAGTAATCAGTGAGAGTTTGATGGAGTGTAGCTAACTGAAATAAAATGTTCACATCAAAGTATTGAGTTAGTTTCTGTTTAAAGAGTCTTTTAAAAAGTATAACTTGAGTGATATGCAGGCTCTGCCTCTGATGTATGTATATCCTCCCCATCCTTCATGTCCTGTTTTGAATTGTTATCCATGTGGCCTCTTTGACTTGCAAACTTTTCCTATTTTTGTTGAGCCTCTTTATATAAATAATAATGTATCCACTTTACCCATGCCTTTGTTAGCCCTTGCCCATATAGAGGTCCCCTTTTCAGAGATCCCAGTCCCCTCCTATTCATTGTGAGGTGGCATCCTACTATCTCCATCTACCCCCTTGCACTGTCACCATTCCTTCAATGAGCCAATATAATGAAGTTTATACCAAGACTCAAGTTGCCTGCTTTCCCTCGAACACCATGAACTACCTTCTGAAAAGTAAGACCTCAGGACTATGTGCGCCCCCCACGACCCGCCCACTCCACCCCCCCACCATGACTGACTTTGTAGGACGGCCCCGACTGACCATGGACCAGACCCTGAATATCTCCATAGCACCGAAACTGATTTATCTGTAATCCCCAGATTGGTTGCAAGTGTCCTGCAAGATTGATTGTGTCCCAGTCCTTGGATTGCAAGGACGCAGAACCCCAGACTCTGGTAGGAAAAATTGCCTGGCTAACCATGGTCAATCCCCACATTAGAATCAGATGAGTCTCTTGCTTGGTTGTGGCAGCATCTTCTGATTGACTGTAATCCCCTCACACAATTAAGGAATGCTCCCCTTTGAGTTCCACATGGCCATTTGCTTAAAGCACATGCGGTGTGTTTGCTGGCATATAGTACAGGACATACACTGACATGTCCGTCCACTTGATTTTCCATGCTCACCATTGCGACAGCTGCCTGTATCTTATTTTGTGTTGAAAAGCAATGCAAGCTAAAAGGCTGTCAGCCTGTAACTGAGCAATAAAAGCCCCTGCGGACTCAAAAAGCAAGGTAACCTGCAGAGAACCTGGTAGCCTGTAAGTCTTCACGTCAGGCAGTGTTCCCTAAGAAAGCAATGAGAAGTACACAGAGGATGGCAGCCTCAGGTAAGTACAAAATAAGTGAGCACTAAGAAAGCAAGATAAGATCCGTAAGATGCATCCTGTGCAGATGGATGAGGTGTGTGTGTGTGTGTGTGTGTGTGTTTGTGTGTGTGTGTGTGTCTGCATGCAAAGTAAACTGGCAGAAGCATGCAAACTATAGGTATTCTTCAGCACCAAAGTAAAGTGTTAAGGACTGAAGTGGTGTGTGAGTTGGTCCAAGAGCATGCATTATAATGTGGTGAGGATGGTATTTTGCCAATATTGTGCGTGTGAGATGGGTCGAGGAGATTTAAGACCATGGAGCACGCAGATATGTTATTATCAGAAGCAGATGATGCCTGGGACAAGTATTCAGTGAGCTGCAGTGGCCAGGTATCCACATTGATCTACATGTCAGACTGTCTAGTTTCTTGGGAAAGGAGAGGATAATTGGAAGTGCTTTATAAATAAGGTAAATTGGGGCTTTGATGAGAAGCAAATGCCTTGAAATAAGATAGTTGCTGCATATTGGCAAGATTCTAAAGTCAACAGTTCAGACTTGAGGGGGAGATTTCAAAGATTTTTCTTGATGTCGGTATTCTGATTTTTTTTCATTCTCCCCATTATTTTCTCACCTTTCTTGTTGTTGCTTATACTAAACAGGGAGAGGACAGCTTTACTCATGTTTTGGCTTTAACGGTCATTACAGGCCAGGGAGTTAACCTGGAAATTTCTAGCCAGTATGAAATGGTCACATACCAAGTTATGCTATTAATGAACAGTGCTTCTGAATTTTTAAATGAATCCTGCAAGTTTTGAACTTTTATCCTTGTCTTCAAATTCTTTCAAAGCCTTGTCACCCCACATCCCAATAACCTCCTCCAGCCTTATCATATCCCCAGAATACACGTTCTGAGGAAGGGTCACCGGACCCGAAACGTTAACTCTGATTTTTTCTTCACAGATGCTGCCAGACCTGCTGAGCTTTTCCATTAACTTCTGCTTTGTTTCTGATTTACAGCATCTGCAGTTATTTTGGTTTTTACAATTTCTCTTGTTCATCCCCATTTCTTCTTACTGTCTTGAAGTGACTATGCCTTTAAATGCCCAGGCCCAATGTTCTCTAAATTTCTCTCTTCTCCAACCTCTCTTCTATGAGAAGCCCTCTCTTTTACTAAATTGCTGGTCACCTTCCTTCTTAAGAATGACATTCCTCCTACATCTGAGGGATAATTTACAACATTAAAGACATTTGCAAACATAATTTGTTGCTGTTGATTAGCAATAACTTCTAACCATTCTCCTTGTTGAAATATTACTCTTTGCTTGCTGGGAAGTACATAAAAATATGCTCCAATTCTGTGTCTGTACATTTTTGCAGGGAGTTTCCCATGTGGAAGAAAGATTTATGTAGCAATTTTGGTTGAAGTTTTAACCAAAAAAAAGTTTTTATTTGATCATTTTAAATTTCATTACCTGGAAAGAATATAAAACATTTATAAGATTTATATTTCCTGTGTTTTTCTTTGTGCACCCTCAATAAGGAGATCTAAGTGACTTGTTTCATTGCAAGCTATATTTTCTTAACGTGCCAGTTCATGCCAACTCATTAGATCAATTTTTAATTGGTCAACTGACCCAAGAGCTTACACTTTGTAAAGGCTGTTTAAAATAGGTGATGTTTAGATTCATGTTTGGAATAAAGATTTTGATTTAATTCCATGACTTCTCTCCCTTTCTACCTAAAGGCTCATAGATTCCGGAAAAGTCCCAGACGTTTGGAAAACTGCCAATGTCACACATTTATTTAAAAAAGGAAACGAGACAAAAAGTAGTTAACTATAGGCCAGTTAGCTTAACATCTGTTATTGGGAAAATGTTAGTATCTATTATAAAGTATAAAATAACAGAGCAATTAGAAATCAATAATGTGATCAGAGTCAGCTTGGTCTCATGAAGGGAAAATCATACGTTAAAAAATTACGATAATTCTTTGAGGAGGTAACAAGTAGAATAGATAAAGGGGAAGCAATGGATGTAATATATTTGGATTTTCAGAACATGTTTGGTAAGGTACTACACATTAGGCTACTTAATATGATGAGAACCCATGGTGTTGGAGACAATGGTTAGAGGATTGGCTAACTAATTATAAGTCAGAGTTGGGATAAGGATGGCAAACTGTAATGAATGGTATGCCACAGGGATCAGTTCTAGGGGCACAATTATTTCCAAGATATACTAATGACTTGGATGAGGAGAGTGAATGTGCAATAGCCAAGATTTCAGATGACACAAAAATACTTAGAAAGGCAAGTAGTGAGGATGACAGAAAGAATCTGAAGAGAGATTTGACAGTTTAAACAAATGAGTGAAAACTTGGCAGATGGAATATAATGTAGGGAAATGTAAGGTTATGCACTTTGGCAGGAACAGTAGAGGAGTTGAATATTATTTAAATGGTAAAAGACTGCAGAAAGGAAAGGGATTTGGGAGTCATTGTTCATGAATCACAAGAAACTGGCATCCAATTTCAGCTGGTAATAGGGAAGGCAAATGGAATGTTGGCCTTTATTACAAAGGGAATGGAATACAAAAGCAGGGAGGTTTTGTTAAAATTATAAAATGACTAGTCAAGTCACAGCTGGAATGCTATGAACAGTTTTGGTAGCCTTATCTAAAGATACCTAGAAATTGAATAATGAGAAGAGTTGAATGTAACAAAGTAAACAGGCCTTAGATATTGCTCATGCTCAGATTTAGTTTTAGATTTTTGATTTTAGATTTTATTGTCACAGGTGCTCAAGTACAGGAAAACAGTGAAAAGTATAACGTCACCACTCATCGCACCATCTTAGGTACCAAGGTACCTAGGTACAAAAAAAAGCACAGGTACAAAGTAATAAGGGAAACGAGAGTTAAGAAGTAAGCATTTTTTCATAGAATAGTAGAAAAGAAAGGTAACAGTTTACATTGAAGTCTTTAGTAGTTTAAACAAGGAAAATAAAGGAGTAAGTCAAGAGTTCAACAAGCTTTGATGAGTCATCCGCTTATCCCGCTCTCCAGGGAGACCCCAGCTGTCTGTTCTCGACACCACCACCACAGATGCCATTGCTGCTGCTTAAACTGCCACCTCTCCGATCTCCCTCAGTGCCTCTGAAATGTGCCCAGGCAGGATCCATTCGCACACCGAACCGCGACACCTCCATGAGCCAACAGGAGACCAGCCAACATACTGCCAAGAAACCAGGCTGAGAGCTGTTTATCTCTATTGGAGTAAAGTCAGTGCTCTGGTGCCCTTGGAGAGGGAGTAAGCACTGCCCACTGGCTCACTTAAGGTTTTTCATGATTGGTGGGCACCACAGGGGCTGGGGTATATTAATAATCTTTCCGAAGACATTTTAATTTAAAATTTTCACGGCTTCTTTTGAAATTTTGAATTAAGTTACAGTGCTCCTTATGTTTTATTTAAATTTGGCTTGTATTAGTCAAATTTATGGTTTATTAAAAGAATACTTAGGTGTGCATACAAAGAACAATTAGCCAGCCAGCACAAAGGGAGTGGGATTGGGAAAGAAAAGGAAATTTAGAATAGAGAGTGCTGTCACAAGTAATAAACGGTGTCCACCAAAAGCATTCTTGTTGTGATATATTCTTCACAAGTACTGTTGGCGATCTCCCAACATTGATAGCAGAAGATGGGTTTCTGAAAACTGAGGGTGGAGATTAAGGTTTACTTTTGGAGTTGGATTACCTTGAGAAGACTATGATTGACGAGTCTTTTTAACAAAGAAGATTGAAACCAGGTTTAAAGTCAACAAATGATTTACCCCTGCTATTTTGTGAAGTGAAAATTTATGATTAGTAGAAAATAGACATCGATCATAGAGGAAGCAAGGAAAACTCCTTGTACTTCTGCTTCTTATCAGAAGCAGGATCAGACGTTCAGCAACTGGATACTGAAGAAAGTTTCAGCATTTTGTTAAACTTTATTAGAAAACATAAATGAAAGATTACTTATTGAATGACTATGGGGCTTGGTCATGCATTAATAAATTCAGAAA